TTTTTTTTTTTTCTCTTAATCTCAATTTTTCGATTAGTATTTGCGTCGCGTTTGTGTCATTTCAAACTTTCGCCAATTGCCCAATAGAATCGTCCGAAGTGGGCCAAAAATTTCACGATTTCTCGTGAACCAATACCATCAATATAGTTTCGTAAGTTTCTCGGGTGATTTGCAATTTTTTTACGATTAGTCGCGAAACGTGCGATTTAAAATATATAATCGACTTTATAAACGAAAACAACAACAAAATCAATCAATTGTTTATTACGTTGAAAAATAAAATTATTAATAAATGTATCACAAGGGGGAAAGTTGGACAAGGTAAAAAAATAAATCAGAACGTTATGTTTTGATCTTGTTGTGAAAAAAAAAAAAAAAAAAGAAATAGAAAATATTTCTAAAGAAAGCTCTCTGTAAAGTCAGGCAGTCTCGCTTCTTACTAGTCGGAAATAGCGCCGGTCGACGAAAATGTAAAATCTTAAAATGTTCACGGATCAGGAAGATGACGATTGTTCTTACAGGAAAAGCCACGTTCCGGATCTCAGAGTGCAATTGGATGTTTTCGACGATCAACGGGAAAGCGACGAAGTATTATCGAACAACGGACCACCGGAAATCGATTTGTCCTCGCACGTTGATATATTTTATGCTATTCTTGGACAGGTTAGTGAAATTAATAATAGTTCTCTTCTCTCTTTTTGTTTTATTATTATTATTATTATTAATTGTACACGTTCAAATATTTGTGAATTAATGTTATTACGAGAAAAAATGAAACAAGTATAATACACGAACAATTTAACGAATTATTCGACGAAATAATAAAATAAAGAACAAATATAACGCATATCAAATTGTGGAACGTTCTTCAGATCGCAGACACCCCACAGGAAATACCATTCTTGAGTATTCTCCAGCATCTGTTGCGACTGGATCCGAAAGATGCTGCGAGTGATTTAGCCTGGGACACAGCTGAAACCCTGGTCCATCGTGCAACGTTATTAGAAAGTCGAGAGGACGTCACGAAATTACTCAGATCACCTAGTCTTCAGGTATATACGAATATGATTTTGTTATTTCCTTTTTTTTTTTTNAATTGTTTATTACGTTGAAAAATAAAATTATTAATAAATGTATCACAAGGGGGAAAGTTGGACAAGGTAAAAAAATAAATCAGAACGTTATGTTTAACTCTAGTTGTGATTAAAAAAAAAAAAAAAAAAAAAAAAAAAAAAAGGAGAAAAATATCCGCGATCTTGATTGCGAATAAAAATATGATTTATGGATTACAACATAGTTAAATATAACATTATCTTTTCCAGACGAATAATCTATGCTGTCATTGTCGAGGAAACGATCAGACGTGCGGTACGTCTCGAAAAGCGTCACTTCCGGTGAGCAATACAACCGCACCGTTGACATCAGCAACGAATACATCGGTAACAACAACAACAACAACGCCGCCTAATCCACCCCCTAGTACTGCTTTCCTATTGCCACCACCACCTCCCCCACCGCTCTTTATTACACCGGCCAACTCGAATGCACCAATGGAACCACCATTGCCACCACCGTTACACGTGCCGCAAGTTACTCGTGCTCCTACTCCCGAAGTACCCAACAATCATGCGAGATTACTTCCTCAACAGGAGACACCTACTCCGAAGACTAAAATGAAAACTATCAATTGGAACAAGATTCCTAATCACAAGGTATTACATATGCTTTTTTTCTTTTTCTTTCTTTTTTTTTTTTTTTTTTCTTGTAAATTTCTGCTACCCCCGTACACAACTGCGGTCGCGAGTCATACTTCGAAAAGTAAAAATGTTTGAAGTTATATAAGTAAAAGAAATAGAACATTTTATAATTATTATTGATCTACAGGTGATCGGTAAACGAAACATATGGTCGTTGGTTGCAAACGAACATCAGAATCTTCCCAACGCTGATTTAGATTGGGCAGAGATGGAAGGGTTGTTTTGTCAACAAGTACCACCGATGATGCCACCGGTAACTTGTTCATCAACGTTTGGAACAGGCATGGATGCTGAAAAACGTCGACGAGAACCAACCGAGGTAAATCAATTTTTATAATATGATCAATTAATATATACATATTTCTCTAATCTTTATACTTTTTTTATATTTATTTAGATTGCTTTATTAGACGGAAAAAGAAGTTTGAACGTTAATATATTTCTCAAACAATTTCGAAGGTACGCGATTGAGATGATTTATTTATCATTTGTGTTTAAGATATATGATAAATACTTTAATTACTTTTTCTTTTTCTTTTTCTTTTCGTTTAATTGTTAGTTCGAACGAGGATATAATTCAATTGATAAAAGATGGCGGACACGACGACATCGGTGCGGAAAAGTTACGGGGTTTATTGAAGATTCTACCCGAGGTGGATGAATTGGAAATGTTGAAAAATTTCGACGGCGACAAATCTAAGCTTGGAAATGCCGAAAAATTTTTTCTTCAATTAATTCAAGTACCTAAGTAAGATATTTCAATTGTTATTAAATATTTATAAATCATTATTTTTTATATTGTTTAACAATATTTACTTATATAACATTGTTATTTTTATTTTCATTAGTTACAAGCTAAGAATCGAGTGTATGCTTTTGAAGGAAGAATTTGCAGCAAATATGAGTTACCTGGAACCGAGTATAAATTCGATGATTTTAGCTGGGGAAGATCTAATGACTAACAAACCACTTCACGAGGTCCTTTACATGGTCCTGGTAGCTGGAAACTTTTTAAATTCGGTACGTATCCTTTAATGAAGATATACATTTAGTTTTCGCTTATTATTCGCGTATTTCAATTTAATTGAAATTATTGTAAGATTAATGTTATCTATTTTTCAGGGCGGTTACGCAGGAAACGCAGCTGGCGTTAAATTATCTTCCTTGCAAAAGTTAACCGAAATTCGTGCTAACAAACCGGGAATGAATTTAATACATTACGTCGCTTTGGTAATATAATAAATTAAATTTTCTGTTAAACTATTTTGTATAATTATATTGGTAATTTATTTCCTCTATATTTTTTGTTTGTTTTTGTTTTCATCGTGTGAAATCAGCAAGCCGAAAGGAAACGAAAGGATTTGTTGAATTTTGCCAAAGATATGAGTGCTTTGGAAGGAGCGACTAAGTAAATATTGTTAAACAATAAAAAATAAGAAATCATTACGAGAACGTTATATTATAAATATTTCATTGGCAAATTATTTTCTCTTGTAACAGAACAACGATTGAACAATTGAACAACGAATTCAACTCGTTGGACACGAAAATCAAAAAGATCAAAAATCAAATTCAATTGCCATCAACGGAAAGTGATATTCAAGAACAAATGGCACAATTTTTACAAGTAATCATAACGTCAACATTATTTACTCTTATATTTAAATCGAAAAGAAATAAATTCAATTATATCATAACGCGTAAATTAAATTTTCAGATGGCTGAACAAGAAATGGCACAATTGAAACGTGACATTGAAGAATTGGAAAACGTTCGGCGAACGTTAGCTGAATTTTTCTGCGAGGATACGAATACCTTCAAAATAGAGGAATGTTTTAGGGTATTCCATCAATTTTGCCAAAAATTCAATCAGGCTGTTGCGGAAAACGAAAGGCGAAGGATTCAAGAGGAACAAGTATTGGCAAGGCGAAAACAACGGGAAGAACAATTAATGGCTAGAAAGAGATTACGTAAGTTATTTATTTATAAATTTCATTATTACTAACTTATATGTAAAATATCTTAAATATTATTATTAATAAGTATACGAGGGTTGGGTTGAAAAGTTTCTAACCTCGAGGACAAACTTTTATTTCGAGATAAAATTGAGTTAAGTCGAAGAAAGATAATCGTTTCTATGTTAGGTCCAAAACTTTTCAACCCACCCACATAAATGTTTATTTAAAAAAATATATTATTAATCTATTAATAAAATTTTGTACAAACATATTCCAGTAAGTAATCAAGCAGAAACACCTGGTTCCGAATCCGAATGTAATCTAATGGATTATGGTCTTCTTGATCTTCATACTGGTTTACCTCAAAGAAGTTACAGTCGTAGCGAAGCAAAGGTAAATAATAATGATCTAAATAATTAATCGAAATGTGATATTAATAATTTTGAATAATTTTATATCGATTTAAGATCAAAAGGTTACAAAACGGTGTTGTTACCTCGGACGACGATATTTCCATTACCGGTTCACCAAACATAAGACGAAGATTAGGCTCATGTTCCGGTGGTCCTGAACAACAGTCTACCAAAGAAGATACTTATTCTCCAGGTTTGTTATAAAATATTGTTTATATTAATATAATTGAAAGTTTTGTTTTTGTTTCTTTTGAGATTGTTCGTGCCAAATTTTTGTATGGAATTTTATTATTGTTTAGACATAACGCCTAACGGTACCCTTCGTCGAAGAAGGAGTCGAATACCGTGCGAAGATGATGATGGTAATTTAATGGATTTTCTCCGAACTTCCGGTCAGGAGAATACTCGAGAAAGAAAATCCTGGGGCAGTTTGGGTACGTTCAACATTATATTTTATATTAATATTTGTAACGATACTAATTTCATATAAATATTTTATTACGTTCATTTTATTTCACATAGAAAATAACATAAGTTTTCCTTATGATTTGAATTTTTTGGAAATAGACCGATCGTGGGCTAGAAGAGCACGCGGCCAAACGCGAAGAGGTGATCTTTTGAATGCCGATTTTTCGGCTGATCGTGAAAGGCCAAGTTCGCCATCACCCTTAGCCGAAAGCAAACCATTTTTACAGGAAGAGGAAGCAAAGCCAGGGTATAAAAATGTTCTACAACTCAATTCATTTTCATTTCTCTTCCTTACATTTTTATTTTGAAATTAATCTTATGGGGGCGGGGGTGGAAAAAAAAAACAGGAAAGCATGGAGACAAAAAATCGAGGCTTGGCTGTCAGAAAACGAGAAGGAAGATCGTGCGGGAGAAGAACTTCAAAGAAAGGCCAGACAATTGCGTCAAGCAAATCGAAGGTCCTTCGAAGACTCAGGTTAATTTCAATTGAATTCGTTAAAAGGAATTTCTCCCATTTAAATGTTACAATTAATTTATTAAATTCGATTAGATTAGATTAGATTAGATTAGATTGATTGATTTATTTGTATATATTGTAAATATAGAAAGTGAAGGCAAGAACTCCATCAGGAATACCCTGGCTGAAGACGATTCTATGCACGAAGGTTATTCCGAAGTTTACGACTGGCGGCCATCCGTAGAGAAAACGGATGTTATGCGCACTATGGAAGCAATCGAAGGTAGATCTCATCATACATATTCCTATTTGGAATACAAGTTACAACGAGATATTCCAGTATTTCCACTTCTTTTAGAAGCTCAACCGAACCCATCGCAGAAAGACAAATCACCTTGGCGAAAGTCGAGTTTGAACGTACCAAATAGTATGGAAGAGACTGATCCACGTTATTCTCGTAGGCTAAGATCCAGATTAAGTATTGAGAATATTCTTGCTCCTAGTCCGTTGCAAGTACGTATATTATTTCGTATAAATATAATCTATTACACGAGTAATTTTGTTATATTTTATTTCAATTCGTTTTTTTTTTTTTTTTTTTTTTAATATTATTCAAATATTTACATGCAATATTAATACTATCGAATTTATAAATTAAATAAACTAGTTAATTAGATCAGTAATAAGCTTCGTTATTTCTGTTATCAAATAATCTAGGCAATCAGAGAAGAGGACAGAAAGAAGAACAAGATCAGCGAGGCGATTAATGCGAACACTCCGGATGAATTAACTATTTATCTTCTACAACCTTATGCGGGCTCGCAAACTACAAATACCAGAAGATTCTCGAAAATTGTTAAGAAAACTAATAACGAAGATGAGAGCAGCAACATCAGTGACAAGATCGAAATTGATTCGGATAATATTGAGACACCACCGGCAACCAGACGACTTATCAGTCCACCTAAGGAGGTTAAACCGGTCGAGAAAGAACCTTGTAAACGAGAAAGATGCAGTAGTTCTCTTCAAAGTCGAGAATCTAAGACTGTTCCGTTGAAACCTGTTAGCGTAAATGCTGATCTTGGTACCGGTACGTTAACTTGTTACGATTATCTCTTATTTGACGTTGATTTATCTATTCTTTGCATCATTAACTAACCCTGATTTCGTATCCCTTATCCTGCCTTAATTTTCTTTTAATATACCTTCATTTTATCCCGAACTGGATTTCCATCCAGTTTATTAATATTATTTTTTCTTCTCGTTTCTCTTTTATTTATATTTTAATTTACTTCCCAATGAGAGAAATATTTTCTACGACTCGAACGACATATTTTTACGCTTAAACTCGTTCAATATATATATATATTTGTTTTTTCTTTTTTTCTTTCAGGAAATTTCGATAGATACTCAGCGACAAGGAGAACAAGAAGATATAAAAAGATGTCTGATCCTACGGATAAAGAGACAAAGAAAGAAGAACCGATAATAGGTCAACAGCAAATCTTCGAAGAGAAAGCAACGGAACGGCCGAGTACATTGTCATTGGTTGAAGATGGTCAAGAGGAAGATGCGATGCTTCGAGTTTGGCAGGACAAATTGAAACGTTCGGAAGTAGCTACGACGGAGAAGATCGATGCCGCATTGGCTGAGATTGCAAGATCGGGCGAAGATCTTCAACATTTGTCACGTTCGAGTGTTCAAAGAAATTCCAGGCTACCTGTGAGTCAACCACCCCCTGTGGTTGCTGTTACTAATACAGTTTTAAGTCCGGTGATGCAAGAATCCAGGCCGAGGGAACCAATAACGATCTTAACCGAAAGGGCAGTCAGTAGTCGTGAACGTCACAGAAGTATGATTGATCCGAGCCAAGTGAAGGAAGCTATCAGAGTTACTAGCAGCCCACCAAGTCAAATCAATCAAAGTCCGATCAGGAATTTAACCTGCGAGCAAACTACAACGTCGGATCGTAAGATCGTAGAAGATAACGTGATCTCGATCGATCAAACGGATCTGAACGAAGTCTCTTCTAACGTGGATACTGATTTAAAGAGTGGATCCAATGAAGGAATCGAAACGATTACCAACGATCCACCTAAACAGAATTCCATGTTCAGAAATAGGTTCATTCCTGATATAAACGTAACCAATGCGTCATCCTTGTCTTTAGGCTCGACGGTTAAAGGTAGAGATCAGGAATTGAACGACGAAGGTTTCGAGGAAACCCAAAGCCTAGTCTCGGAATCTTTGAGTCAAGAAACATCATCCGGTAATTACGAAACCGACGCACACGATTCTACGCGATATTCTCCAGCGGAGTTACGTTACGCTGGTACTATTGTTAGCCAATGTCGACCTAACGACGATGAAGAAGAGGAAGATGTACGACATATTATCAAGGAACCGGTTAAAACTGTCTTCGCTAAGACTACAGTTCCTACAGTTAGAGCCACGAACAATGATAAAAGTTTTCTACCAAAACGTACGGCTAATAATATTAAACGTGAAACTAATAGGAAAGTTGACTCGTTAAAAAGGAATCCTATGGTAATGGGATCGAATGTTAGAAACGAAGTTGAACGTTCTGGTTCTCGTAGTAGTCTACGTAGCTCGAGAAGTTCATTGAACAGTGCTACCTCGGTTAACACCGTACGAAATTTGGCACCCGCTCATGCGCACCTTCGCAGTTACACGTCCGCCATTCGTGCTTTGACCAATGACCTAAGGAAAAGTAGTCCTTCTAATACACCTTTACCGCCGACCGTGGTAAAAAAGGATAACGATAAGAGACGCGTAAATCCACGGATCGCAGTCACGAGGATTCCTGCAAGTAGAAGCAGTAGCAGTGGTAGTAGCGTTGGTCCTGTTTTAAGAAACGTTAGAAAGACGAACAATGTAAGTGAAATCTTATTAATTAGGAGGTCTATATAATATATCAAATATTATAATTATGTATTTTAATTAACAGGCAATTGTAGAAACGATCTCAAAGGTGAACAAACCTCGAACGATCGCTTCTCGTAGCAGTAGCAGTGGTAGCAGCATAGGACAACAATCAACGGTGTCCTGTCAACCTGCTGGTGAAAAAGTATCACCTGCAAAGAGTCGATTGATCCAACCACGTGCTGGCTCGAAAAATCATAGTTTCATGAGGCCGACAGCCGCCAGTGCTAGTAAAGGTTCTATCCCGAATCTTCCAAAAAGTATCAAAGGCTTGATCAAATGAATTATTTCTTACTCCGAGAGGTAACAATCTCTTAACGTTCGAAGTTTGTTTTTTTTTTTTTTTTTTTTTTT